CCAGCTAGTTCATACTACTTTAGTAATTTGTGTCCGTCGTGTCACAGCTAGCCTGAAGAGCCCTGATATTGGACAAAAGGCCTAGTCAGCAGTAGACACAGCAGATATAGTGTGGCTGATATATTATTATAAACTCTTCTTTACTTTCACTCAGTTATGATCAATAAGACCTTTAACTTTTCACTTCACCAAATCAACTAGATGTATGGAATGAGTTTAAAGGAAGTCTACGAGGGTGATTCTGGAGAAGGGTTATCTTGACAAGATAGGATCACTTATTTTCTCATAAGGAAAGAAGAGTAAGAGATGATATTATTCAAGTTATTTGGAAAGCTTATAAATAAAGGTCTCAAATTTCTTTGTATCAATGTCTGAAAGACAACAGGTCAAGAACACACAAGTTTAATATTTAGAAAAGATAGATAACTTTTCTGAAAATTTCACTTATAGGTAAAATATCATCAGCATAGTGGAGACCTGCACCATAAAAAAAAGTTTAAGAGAGGAATCAATGATTTATGGAAAATAAAGGATGATTTAAACTTTTTTTTTTTCTTAAGAGTGGGAGTACAAAGACAGCCTACAAGAACCAATGGTTCATTATAGTTGAAATGTTATTGTTAATATAAAACTTAATGAAGATTCAGCAGTGTACCATCTTAATTATCTATTACATAAAGCAATCATTTAATTAGAACCAATAAATATTAACATTTCGTGCTTCTGCAAAATACAGTTCCACTTCTGTGATAACAAAGTTGCTTGAAAACTGATACTGGGAAACATTCTCATAAAAATCCCAGTTTGTTTCAATAACTAATGTTTCTTATGAAAAAATTGTACTCGTTATGCAATAAAAGTGTGCTGACATATTTTAAACTTCATCTGGATTGATACAAGGGATTTCAAAAATGTAATTATTGGTGATAAGGCTTAATCCTTGAAACTATTTGCACTTGTCTTTGATAAAAACTGTTAAACTAATAATTAATAAACCACATTTTGGAAAAGCCAATTAAAATACTTTAGCTATCAATGCACATTTTTCATAAATGAAACATGTTCCATTTGCAGTAGTCACTCGAATGGATCAACTTTTTTTACATTTTGAGATCAAACCTATTTTGATAAATTACCACTGAAGCCCTAATGGAACAGTAGATGTGTTGGATAACTTTAGCTTTAAAGAGAGGTACTCTTTATAAGTTATGTAAAATTACCTATTTTCTATGTAAAACACAGGTGGGGGGGGGGCTCTGCAATAATTAGTGGGACTAAATGGAATTTGTAAAAACAGTTAACATTTGAGCTAACTTTAGCTACCCCTCTCTTATCTGATAATTTCAGTCTAGTTTAAAACAACTTTCTAATATTCTTGTTTAAACAAAATCAGCACTTTGGTAGAATTGCCATATTACATTGACATTAAGCAACATTCATTTCACATTAATTTTTAATCTAACAAGTTGCTTTTATCCTAGAAATGATACATCTGAGTTAGTTATTGTGGCTAAAATATGTAAAAGTAGGAGTAAGAGAAGACTGTGTGGGACTGAAGTGAAGAGGACACATGAAAGTGTCAAAACTGTTTCTTAGTCTTTTGGTTAATATTTCATTCCAAAAGTGTGGTTTGTTTATTTGTTGTTAATTTTACTTATGTTTTGCTTTTGACTATTATACGAATAAGTATACTTGCATCTGGTTGATTTTTTTTAAACATAAATATCAGCTTATATATATATTGCAATTTACCTAATAATTTAAAAATCATATTTGTTAATTTTTGGTTAATGCAGGTCATTTCAGAATGAATGATGAAATACTGTTAATCATGCTTACTACATGTTATACAATTTGTTTTTCATTAATTAGGAGGTGGAACAACATATGAAGATGTAAAGCCATTAACAGTATCTGAGGTTGGTTTTTAAATAATTAAACCTTATGATTTCCTGTACTGCATCACTCCTTGAAAGATATACTTACTGTGTAGATACCTTTTAATTTGGATTCATCTTTCTGATCATATAATACTCACAATTCTAATGGATACAGCAAATTTACAACAACAATATTGATATTCTTAGTAGTAATAGTACTAGTAAAAAGTTATTTAAAATTAAATGCAGTTTAAGTCAACTTAATTCTTAAACTCTTAATTCTTTATGGCTTTTCCTATATTACTCAAATATTAGGTTATAGATTTGTACAAGTTGTAGCATAACTTTGAATGGTGAAAAAATTAGTATTGTAATGTTCTATGAAACTGACTCTGTGTAAAACTAAAACTATTTACTAAAACTTTCATTAAATAGTTCTAGTAAAAGTTGAAATTATACTTACCAAGTAGTAAACTTAACGTTAGAATTTGTGGTTAACACTAACAGTGTTATTAAATCAACGCAAAATACTTATACAAATTAAGTACATTGCAATTAATATTAGATAATTTGAAGTTTATACAAATTATATTGATTCTAAATTCTAATGTTAGAAATGTTTTATGAAATAATTAATTTACATTAATAGTAATACTAGTAATACGTTAACTTAGCCAAAAAGCTTAACCCTTAAATTTTAAACTAAAATGAAAAATTTAAAGTAAAATGAAAAAAATGTTAAATTAAGCGCTTAACCGTTCCTCAACACATACAATTAACTGCTTAACTATTTTTAGCATTCAAAACTACTAAAGTAATGTTTTCTATTAACACTGAGTTAATAATATTCAGCATAATTAAAACTTTAAATCTGAAAAATTAAAAACTTACGACAAACTGCAGAAACCTACCTTCCAACTTTAAATCCATATTTGTAATTTTCAATTGACATTAATTCAAATAAAATCAGGTACTGTATATTGAACTGTTCTCAGATCTTTTTAAAACCATTTACTTAAAATGGAACTTAAATTCAATTGAATTACGTATATAAAATATGAACTGAGTCAAATGCACATCACTTATCTACTCTTGAAGAAGTAGTACCAACACTAATAATACAGACTCAGTTTCACTAAACGACCTAAGCTTTAACGATAAGACATACACTTGTCGTCCATCCCATGATGCACTGTAATATAAAGAATTCCCTAAGGCAAATATATAAAGTATAGTGCTTTTTTTTAATGGACTAATTATATGTACATAAAAGTTATATTTTCTTTTGTGTGGTTTCTTAACAACACAAGTTGTCGTTTTATTATTTCAAGACCAGTTTTCATTTCAAATACATTCACATAGACTATCCTTGGAGAATCTGAGATTAATAACAAACATTTTAAAAATTCAGAAAACGGCTAAAATGGGATAGAAAAAATAAAATAAAAACAACTCAGCGCCACTGTTAATGTAGTATTAAATTGTGACACGTTTTACCTCACTAAATATTAATAATAGCTGTTATTTGGGGTACTTTATATCAATTTAACAATTGTTAAATCGTTGGTCTTAACAAGAGTCTATTCAAAGTATATGTTGCGTTTCTGGTCGTTAGTTAATTTTCCGTAAAAATTCTTTCC